CTGAGACCATCAGGGAGTAGAAACATGCGCAACGACTCGCGAAGCTAGACGAAGCAAAAAAAAAAAAAAAAGGAAAAAAAAAAGGATCAGAAACATGCACAGAAAGCAAAACAGCCTGCATTGCATTTTTCCAACCCTGGGCAGCATGCAATTGTCTCATGATGCAAACTTGACCGTAACCCCTTTTTCTTGTTGCCGCTGCAGTGACTTGTCAGTCAGAACCGTTCCAGTCTCGTTGTGTGTGTGTGAGTGTGTGCTTGAGAGGGGAACTGCAATCTGCTCTGTTCAGGAGGTGAGGCAATCAACCCCCACCATTAGATTGGAGATTCGCATTCATTCATTCATTTCAGTTGCCACACAAGTTGGTGAGTGACAATTAGGCTGCTGGTCTCTGCCACGAGGTCCCCACCCACTTACTTGCACAGGTAGACAAATACTGTCGGTCCGTAGATAATGAAGATCAAGGGCCAATACCATTCTCTTTCTTAAACCACGAGTACATTTCCCAGCCAGTTTTTTCTACAATGGGGCTGCATGCAACTCAATTTACCTGGTTGCCCACCGGCATGCCGGTGTTCATCCTGCCGGACGTGGTGCACATGCAGCCGCGTCGTAGAAAAAAATGGCTGGGAAACATACTGGTGGTTCAAATTCAAATTCTTAACCCTTGCTGAGAATGAGATGGTGCTCTATTGGCGTGCTTGGGGGTTGGGGCTGCAAGAGCGTGTCACGTGTTCCACAGGCACCGAACATGATGCACCCTGATTACGACTGTACCAGACTAGAAAGAGTGCTTGTGTACATTCATGATCAGGGTGCACGGTGTTTGGGGGAAGACGTAGGAGCGATGTTGGCATCATAGCTGGCTTCCCCAGCCACCGCTCAGGGTGTGTAGGGGTTAGGCCAAAGCTTTTATCTGTGGTCCAGTGTCAAATGTCAAAAAGAGGTAGCAGACCCCCTTTCAAGGGTAGATGAAAGTGGGTCCTCTCCAAATTGGTGCGTGCTAGGGGTGTTGAGGTAGTGTAGGAAGGGGTAGTTACAACCTGCATGTCGCCCACATTCCCTGTCCAAGATACCCCTACCCTTTTGCTTCTCTCTCCCAACCTTGGATGATCTGTACCTCCGCAGGCGGTATTTTTTTGTTTGCTGGCACATCTATTGCTGCCTTGAACCTGCTTGGCGTCTCCTATGACAGTCC